AACGAAATCTCCAGATGAGCAACACTAAGTGGGAGAAACTAGCAAACAACGGGATGGAAGTGCATGTGCAATAAAACTAAAAATGGTGATTAAACGCAGTTTTTTTTTTTTCTTTTTACGAACCAAGAATCATTTTGTTTAGGAAGGCCTTTTCCCCTAAACAATCGTTCTTTCTAATCCAACGGAGAGGCTGAACCACAAAAGATGACGAATGAAACAAGAAGCAACTGGCAGCTGGTCTCAATTTCCGGTATTCCCAAACACGCCAGAGATCCACACAGTCTTCCTCTCTTCCTTCTTAATCCTTGAAGTGAAATATAATTTTTAAAACGGCTAGCTGCAGTTGGTTGGCTTTACATTTCGCATGCCAAAGTGCGAGTTCTGAAAGCTCATGCAGTTGTACTCTAAAGTAAAAAATGCAACTTGAATACCTCATCTTCATCATACTCTTCCATATCATCGTACTCATCGAAAATATCATTATCCGCGGTTGATTCGCCAGTGTAAAACAGCACTGCTCTCGGTACAATTTGGTCGCGGAAAAGTTGACCTATTTCAAAATCAGCTTGCAACAATTCCTGATCAGCTGTATCCTGCAAACTGGGCTCATTTTTCATTAAGCCATGAACGTCTTCATCATTCCTTTCATTCTGAGCTAGATAAAGGCAATAAGATCCTACCATATATCTACACACTGCCCAAACTTCATAAGAATCTCTATGGTTTTCGCCTCATAGCAGCCGCATCTCATTCTGGTATCAAACCTCTGACTGTCTTCCTTCACTGAGCGCTCAAATCCCTTAAAAGATACTTTTTCAACTACTCGTCTTTGTTGCGTCGTAGAATGTGCGAACGTTCTTTCCACAGCACTGCTAACTCTGGCGACACCAATGATTTTGGCAACAGCTTCAATCGTTATACTGACTACACTTATGACCTTGTTCATTCCAAGAATGAACTGCGTAACATAACAGTACAGCCGCCGATGAAACACATATCCGCTT